ACTGAGTTCCACAAGTTCTCCTCCCATAGTGTCTCAGGGCAAGGGCATTGACCCCAATGTAAATAAATGAATGAATGTAACTTTTGCTTGTTTGATTGATTGATTGAGACAGGGTTTCTCTGTGTAGCCCTGGCTGTTCTGGAACTCACTCTGTAGACTACACTGGCTTCAAACTCAGAGATCCACTGCCTCTGCCTTCAACGTGCTGGGATTAAAGACATGCACCACCATGCCCAGCTAAGATTTTAAATTATATTTTTGGAGCTCTAGAAATATAGAACAATGGCAGTGTGCTTGCCTAGCATTCACAAAGCCCTGTGTTCCATTTCCAGCATCAAAATAAAGCTATCTTTAAAATTTACCTTTTACACATTTCAAGCTCTACCTTCCCACCTGCCTCCCTATCAGCAATTGCATTGCTAAAGTAAACAATGATATAGGGATCTATCTGATGGGCATATACAATCTGTAAGCAAGTTTCCCAATTAGTCACAATATCAGTGTTCTGCCAATGTAAACAAAAAACCCCAAGAAGCCAAAACCTACAGTTTGTAAGAAGAAACATGCACAGTATAAGGATTGTTAAACTATAAACTTCTACCTGTCTCCAGCTACAAGTATTCTTCAGACTCTTACTACATATTATTTATTTAGCTGTGCAGATGGAGCTACAAAAGCTGAGATTTGCTGAAGCAAATGAAAGCAATATTTTAAAAGGTTTATTTCATGATTTAATTGGTTATTAAGTATATTTGTTAAGATGAAACAAAAGTGTGTTTTAAAAATTTATCACATTTTATTTATTTAAATGCATGTGGGACTAGGCAGAGGGAAGGCAACATGCCATGACACACATGTGGAGCTCACAGGACAACTTGTAGGAGTCAGTTCTCTCCTTCCACCCATGTGGGTTCCAGGGATCGAACTCAGGTCACTAGGATTGGTGACAGGCACCTTTACACACAGAGCCATCTTGCAAGGGCTGTTTTATTTTATTGCTGTCACAAATTCCACCATTTTGGGTTGTGTGCTTATTTGCATAAATCTACAGTTTTTATATATTTTTCTAAATTGTGTAGAAAGTAATAGGCATTTACAAATTTTAAGTTACACAATATTGGTTTTCATCTTTATGTATTTTCACTTAAGTGAGCTTACATTCCTTCACTTCAACTTGACTGATTACCTCAAAGATGGGTCTCCAGATCTCCAGAGCTCTGGGCAGATACATATCCTAGGCTTTTGCTTGTCTGGAAATGTCTTCATTACTTTCTCAATTTTGAAGGAAAGTTTGTGGGCTATAGAATTCTCAATTGACAGTTTTTACTTTTTGTTATGCTTTGAATATATCACCCCACTGCTTCTAGGTTTTTGCTGAAAAACTCCACTGATAGACTCTCTGATAAGTTACTGTCCTGTACTGGACAAGTCATTGTCTATGGTTTTTGTTTTCTTTATGTATCTTTCTATCTTTCTTTCTTCTCCTACTGGACAAGTCAATGTTTGTGGGTTTTGTTTTCATTTATTTACCTTTCTTTCTCTTTCTCCTTCTCCTTCTTCTTCTGTAGCTCTATTTAGTTCATGAGTATGAGTGTTTTGACTGCATGTATGTCTGTGTACCACATGCTAGCCTGGTGCCCTTGGAGGTCAGAAAAGGGCATGAGATCCCCTGGAACTGGAGTTGCAGGTGGTGCTGGGAACTGAACCTGGACCCTCTGTAAGAGTAGCAAGTGCTCTGAGCCACCTCTCCTACCCATTCGTCTCATGTTTTCAAGAGTCCCTGTTGTCTTTGATTTCTAATAGTTTGATTGCCATGGCTATCACCAGTGTGTCTCTCTACATTTATTCTCCTTGGAATTTCTTGAACTTCTTGGATTCACAAAGCTATGTACTTCTTCAAGCGATATTTTCGATATTTTCAGCCATTCTTTTTCCTTTCCTTTCCTTTCCTTTCCTTTCCCTTTCCCTTCCTCCCTCCCTTTCTTCCTTCCTTCCTTTCTTTTTCTTTCTTTCTTTTTGAAACAGGATCTTACTGTATAGATTAGGCTGGTCACACACTCAGAGATGCACAGACTTACACAGATCTGCCTGCCTCTACCTCCCAGTGCTGGAATTAAGGGTATATTAATACTCTTTGTTTTTTTTAGAAAGGTTGCTACCTTGTTTATTCTTTCGGCATGATTTCCTTTTCTTTTGTATGCCTGATGATTTTTTAATTGCTGAAAAAACAACGTTCCCACTCTTTGTTGACCAGATATATGCAAGGGGAAGACCTTTTTATTTTTAACTAGCTGGTCTTCAGCGCCAGCCAACAAGAAGGCTGAATCAATTCTCAAGCCTTTTCTTGGCATACATCCTGCCTGGGCTTTTCTGTAGTTTATTATGTTCACATACACACTTCCTATTAATTAACTTAATTTCCCTTTAAAATACTATCTCCCTTTTCTTTCTTTTCTTGATAGGGTCTCAATGCGTGGCCTATCTTGGCCTTGAACTTACAACCCTCCTGCCCAGCCTTTTCAAGTATTGAGATTATAGATATATGCCACCAAACCCTAGCTTTTTCTTTGGGTATTATAATGGATTCTTCTACTCATTCTCCTCTTTCCTCTCCTCCCCACCCCCAAAAAAGTCTTACTATGTAGCCTTGGCTGGCCTGGAGCTCCCTATGTAGCCCAGGCTGGCCTCAACTCATAGAAATCTGCCTACTGCCTCCTGAGTACTGAGATTAAGGCTATGCACCACCTTTGACCTTCTCTACCCATTATCTCCTGTTTGAGACATTTATAGTCCAGACTCCCTTGTAGCTTCTCCTACAGGCACTGTAACTGATTGTTTATAGATTGGAGTCCCTTGCAGCTTTCTCCTATGAGAACCCTAACTGATTGCTCATCTGGTAATTTTTTCCCCTTGGTGCTTCTCTTCCTTACATCAGTCAAGCACAGCTACAGTTAATGATGACTCATGCCATGTCTGGTGATGGCTAATGTTCTCCATGGAAACAATCTTTTCTAGTTATCCGAAGTGATGGAACACAGTCAAAAGAAAGATGCATGGTGAACAATGCCTTGGGGAACTATGAGAGAGGCTCCAGGAAAAAAAAAAGTCAGAGGACTTTTTACCTCAAGTGTATTTTGATCCCTGGAATGTTCTTGGACGTCATTTTATACCTCCTGAGGCAAACATTTACATTCAATTTATAAGACATGTTTATTCTTGTTAGATGTCAGAACATAGCTATAGAACCCAATCTGGTGAAGACTATGCTGAGTACTATCCTCAGTGTACCCTGAATCTGGATACGGCCTTCTGCCTTGATTTCATGCTTTCCCAAATACAATCTACAGTACATGCCAGACATTGTGTTTAAATTGGTCTGTCCTGAGAAAGGACTGCTCTGTTGATAATTAGTATGTGCTTACTGACATTTATTTACATGTTTTTCTGAACTCAAACAACCTTCCTTAGATCATTGCCTTCTTTGTTTCATTCATGTATAGAAGTACATGAGATTGAAGTAAAGTTGTCTGCAGCATTAGACTGTAGGCTGCCCTATTTTTAAGGTTCTCAAACCCCAGGTCTTATAGACAGGTCTGCTTAGGTCAACATAAAGTACCACCAACTATCCCCATTCTCCCTATACCAAAGCTGGTAGCTCTGTCTTAACCACGGTTCCTTTCTCATTTCCCAAGACTATCTGAGGATGTCTAGGTATCCCTGAAAAGAAAAAAAATGTATATACACATATACATATAGATACCATATCTACATATCCATGGACGTCACTGCAGGACATGCCATGACTGCCTCAGTAGGTGCTATGGTCAGGGAAAGGCCAGGCTGAGAAGAGTAGAAAGTCTTCAAATAAAAGTTCAAAAGATGTTGATCTCACAACACACACACACATACACACACACACACACACACACACACACACACACACAAATAAAAATTATTGTTTTTAAAGATCTATGCATTATTTTAATTGTATGTGTATGAGTGTTTGCTTGCATGTATGTAGGTGAACCATGTTCATACAGCACAAGGAAGCCAGAAGAGAACATTGGATCCCTCCGAGTTGTATGTGAAGTGCTATCAGGGCAGGGGCTGGGAACCAAACTCCAGGCCTCTACAAGAACAGTAAGTGCTCCTAACTGCTCAGCCATGTCTCTAGCCCAGTTAAAAACTTTAAAGAAGTATGAAGGTGGTAGCACAGGCCTTTAATCCAAGCACTTGGGAGGCAGAAGCAAGCAGATCTCTGTGAGTTCGAGGTCAGCTTAGACTAAATAGTGAGTTCTAGGACAGCCAGGAGTATGTGGAAAGACTATCTCAAAAACCAAAAAAACAAACAAACAAACAAACAAACAAAAACAACAACAAAACAAGCAATAATAAATGCAATTTAAAAGTGCGAAGAAACTGGGGAATATTCTGATACCTTGAAACATTCCAGTTATAACTGAGTTAGAGGTACAACTATATTAATACCCCTGCTATGGTGTCTTTTCTCTAAGATATAAGGGAGGACCTTAATTTTTGTGTAAAAGCATCTTTCCTATGTAGAGCACAAAGACTGTACCTAGCACCATAATCTTAAGATTCGGCGGTGCGCTGTCTCACACTAGAGAATAGCCGTGACTTTACTCCTCTCTCTGAGCTATTTTCCCACTGGCTCTCCTGTCTTACCTTCCTCCTCTCTTCCACCCAGTTTCCAACGAGCACTCTCGTTGAATACTGCTTTTCAATCTGCCAGCTCGGGGTAGAAAACGTCTGAGGAACCTTTGCAGTCGTAAACATGGTAAGGATCTGTCAGGCGTCCGGTTGACTTGGCAGGTTCAGGGGACAGAGAGGTATTGGGGGGTTGTTCGAGTGTTCATCTCCTTATCTGCCAACACTCTGTCCAGCTCAGGAAATTTAAAACCAAGCCTGGAGAGCTCACTTCCCTCCAGGCAGAGTGATGTGACTTGGATTCTCTTTTGTTGACTGTCTCCATGGCGACAGACACGGGCCACAGATCCTCTTCACTAGGAGGCAGTTGATTCTGGAGGAGCAGAGCTGGCCCCACATAAAGGCGTCAAACTGAAAAGCACCACCGTGAAAACAGTAGTGAAAGGCCAGGTGTCTCCCTTTACAAGAGGGGTACCACACTTGCCGCATTTTTGTAACTGGGGTGAGTTGGACTCTTTCTTGAAGGTAAGTTGTTCTAATACTCCTTAATCCTGATAAGTGAGTCCATGCTAAGACACTGACAGACGGCCACTCACAGTGCCCCTTGGTGGCTGGTGCCATAATGGTATCTGCTTTGTACTTGAGGACACTGAAGTACAGAGAGGTTCAGGTGCCTAAAGTCACCCAGCTCCCTGGTGGGACAATCGAGACTTCCATTCATTCTAACTCCAGCTTCAGTCTCTGGCTTCCATCCACTCCCTGTCTGTAACTCTGCCTAAGGGGCTTCCATGAAGAATCCTGCATTGTGTTTGCAGCTAACGCAATATGGTTCATTCATTCAGTCTTCATTCATTCATTCCATAAGCGCTTCACATTCTGTGTCCTGGGTGCTAAGGTGAGGTTGCAATGCATTAATGAATAGACCTCAGCTTAGTTCAGTGGGACAGAGCCCCATTTTTGCTTATTCTCTAGGCCAAAGGATCAGGAGCCATCAAGATATCTATCTACAGAGGGCTGGTTCATTACGGTGGAATCTGTCTATATGATGCAATGTTCTATAACTCTTATGAAAGCCTGGTCTAGGGGAATGTTATGTAACTCAGTGGCAGAGCACTTGCCTAACGTGAAAAGTCCCTTAGTTTAAACCCTAGCCAAGACAGGAAAGAAGAGGGTGAATAGGAGAGGAAGAGGAAAGAGGAAAAGAGAAAAAAAAGGGGAGAAAGAACAAAGGAAAAGGATTAACCAAAAAAAGATGCACTAATAAATAGAGGAAACTTTAAAAATTAAGTTTTATTTTGTTTCACGTGTATGTGTGTTTGCTTACATGTGTTCCATATCCATGCCTATTGCCCATGGAGGCCAGAAGAGAACATCAGATCCTCTGGAACTGGAGTTACAGACAGTTGTGAGCCACCTCATGGGTGCTGGGAACTGAACCCAGGACCTCTGCAGCAGCAGTCAGTGCTTTTAACCGCTGGGCCATCTCTCCAGCCCCACTCAGGACCTCTTTATAAACATTATATTGAGTAGAGCTACAACCAGGCTGTGACCTGCAAGAGCAGCTGTGTCTCCTCCGAATGCTGTGAAATCACACTAGTTGCTTTAAATCTGTCACAATGGGAATATTTACATCACAGAATTGGCAAATGCTGCTGTGAGGATTCATTTTGGTTGTCAATTTGATTGGATTAGAATCCACTAAGTGATGTGCCTCTCGAGGGGTTTGGGCAAGTATTTCTAGGAGGGATTATCTGAGGGGGGAGATTGTTTCCCCACAGTGGGCAGCACCTTTCAGCCCTGGTCCAGAGATAGGGAAATCCGGGAGAAAGACGGGGCCACTCATGCCAGCCTCTACTTCTTGCTGCCGAGTGCATCTACCCACTGCTGTGGCTGCTGTACTTCCATGAGAACCCAGTTTCCATGGGCTTCCAGCCAGTGGCTCTCCAGGAGTCTTCCAGGCATTCAGCACCAGACTGAGGCATCCGGCAACATGGACTGAAGGGCCAACAGGTTCTCAACCTCTTCAGCATGTAGACAGCCATTGTTGGACTATCCAGCCTGCATCACATAAGCCAACCGAATAAATCCCCTTTGTGACACATTTTCATTGCATTGGTTCTGTTCCTCTAGAGAACCCTGGCTAATACAAGCTGTACACTGGGGTATATCGACTGACTTTTTGTTTCTCAGACAGCTTCTGATACTTGCCATATTAAAAATTGAAACAAATCTTAAATAGGCTTATTACTTTTGAAATAAGAAAAGCAAATGACATAATTAACTTTGTTTCCTCAAGCAAAAATGTGTGAGAAGAATGGCATGGTTTTATGCATTCATTTTTTGCGAGCATGTTTAATGCCTGAGCTTGATAAGAAGCAGTTGAATCCTCACTCATTCTTCTGCATTCATTTGTTGTGACAGTGTTTTGTTCAAAGAAAGGAAACACACTTCATATCCTTGCATATATACATAGCTAGGAGAGAAGCCCTTACATAACCCTTGCAGCTAACTGCAAGCTCTGTTTGCTTTGAGACTGAGTCTCACTATGTAGTTCTGGCTGGCCTGGAACTCAATCCATGGAACAGGCTGGCCTTGAACTCACAGATCCACTTGCCTCCGACTGACTCCTGAGCACTGGGATTAAAGGCTTGCCCCACAGCATCCATCAAGTAGGTATGTAGCCCCAGTTCCTGAAACATCCACTCATCGTAAATTCCCTTCCACCAGTTCTGAATTTTGTGCTAGTGAGCTGACTGAGCACACTCCTAGATAGAGTCAGAGCCAGGGGCCAGAGTTTGAAGGCTGAATTAGTCACAAGTACCTAATGATGTTTTCAGCCATTTCTGTATGACACCTGAAAAGCTAGAAGTGGATGGGTTCAGGGAGCTTCTGGGTTGGCAAGCACATCCAGGATACCCCCAAGTCCCCCCTTTCCCTTAGAAACACCTGGACTGGAGGCACTTTTGGATCTTGCCCACATGCATGATCAGAAGAGTTACAAACAAGGGCCAGTGTGATGGCTTGTTAGGTTGAGGCACAATGACAGCCTGAATTCTGTCCTAGGACTGCTTGGTCTTGCAGGCTGCAAGAATATATTATAGAGATTTAGCTGTGTATTAAAGCCGTACTTTGACCAGCCAAGGGTCTGTCAAATGGGAAGCCATTTATCATGGAATATTTGGTGTTATACAGCCTTAATATTCCAGCTGTCTTCTGCTATGGAATTCTTGCAAGCCCAAATATTCCCAGACCATTTGGCAAACAGTTCAGCTCCTCGGACCTGCTAAACTTCTAGGTAACTAGCTCCCTCCTGCCCCTAGCCTAGGAGACAAGCAGGCTCCTAGATGCATAGCTTTGTTTCTTGTGCAAATGGAGCTAATACCATCTCCTTCCCTCAGGCCTAGGGGCATAACAGAGAGATTGACTGAGGACAACAGGGCTTTTTGCATAACCAAGTACAGTAAGGATCGGAGTGGAATTCCAGAGGAAGGACAGAACCCAGAGAGAAGAGAGGAGGGTAAAGCAGATCTGTGGTAGAGTTTATCAGGGCCAGGGGTAAGGAAGGATATAGATGGAGGATGAAGGAACAGAGGACGAAGATGAGGTGAAAAGCATAGGAGCTTACTAAAACTATGAGGACAGGAAAACTGGGCACAGAGAGGAGCTGAATGTGAGGACTGAAGTGATAAATGATAAATGGCACTGGAGGCAATGCTCGCTACCGCAAGGAAAGGTCACGGTCATGACAGAACCCAGTATTAGTATTAGAGCTTTATTAAGAGGAAGTGGGGTGGGGAGTGGGGGGGGACAACAAGAGAACCAGGCATGGGGAGGAAAGCACATGCAGAGAGAGGGGGGGGGGACGGGGGGGGGGCTGAGTCACCGCTCTTTAAGGCACAGGTGGCCCCACAGAGCTACACCATGCATGCACTGACTGCATGACCACATCGTAGTCATCAGCGCACACTGATCATGTAAGATGCAAGATCCTTTGCTTAACTCCTGAACTGCACATGTATGGTCATGCCACTGGAGCGCAGCAGAATCCTAACAAGGACAGGGCTGAAGCTGTGTAGATAGAATTTTGTCATAAAGGAATAAAGTTAAGTGGACTAAAGAGCATGGTGTACATAGATTCCTTTCCCTCAGATACCCCTCGCCATATGTAGCATCTTTCCAGGACTCTGGGAGGAATTTTCTCAGGACAGGAACTTGGGAAAATTCCATTATCCATTAGCTTGGTTGCTGGAGAGACCTGATGGTCTTGGTTTATCCTCTCGTTGCCATACTTTAATTCCCTCCTGCATCTCTGACTTCCCAGGTGAGGTCATTTTTCATTTCTTCTGCAGAATAAGTTTCCTTTTTGATTCAATTCTGATTGCACCAAACTTCCTCTGTTTTTATTTTATCTTTGCTCTTACTTTGAAGAGCATTTTTATTGAACACAGAATTCTTGTTGATGGTTAATTTTGGTCATACTTTGAATGGATCATTTCACTCTTTCCTAACTTTGCTAAGGCAGAGTCTCTCATGTTTCTGTCCTGTCCTTTTTTGTACTCCAGGCTAGCTGACCCTCAAGATTCCCAGTGATTCTTGGGTCTTCACCACCCATCTCACTGAAGGAATACTGGGATTACAGATGTGTGCTACCACATCTGGTTTTTATTTTATTTATTTGTTTTATATGTGTAAGTGTTTGTCCTATGTATATGTGTACCATGTGTGTATCTAGTGCCCACAGAAGTCAAAAGAGGGTGTCTGATCCCCTAGAACTGGAGTTACAGAGGGTTGTGAGCCACCATATGGTGATGGGAATCAAACCTGGGTCCCCTGGGAGAGCAGTAAGTGCTCTGAACTGCTGAGCATTCTCTCCAACCTACATCAGGCCTTTCATGTGGAGTCTGAGGATCAAACTCAAGTTGTTAAGCTGACGCTGCAAACACATTAACTACAGAGCCATCTCACCAGCCCAGTGGGTGGGTTTTTGTTTTGTTCAATGTTTGTTTATTTATTAATTTTTCGTTTTCGAGGCAGGGTCTCTCTTTGTAGCTTCTGGAACTCACTCTGTAGACCAGACAAGCCTTGAACTCACAGAGATCCTCCTACCACCCTTCCCCTCCCTTTCTGGGACAGCAATATGCCCCTGTCTTACTTTATCACTGTATCCCCAGGGCCCTGTGCCCTCTTCGTTATTTTCTATTCTTCTGTCCCTTCATGTTGATTCAAACAGTTCTACCTAGAGTCCACCACAGACATTGCCATCTTCAGACTCTGTCCAATAAAAAATAAAACCTGTATGCACCCAAGTCTATGGTACACATCTGTAATTCCCGACATTCAGAAAGCTGAGTCAGGAATATAAGTCTAAGGCAAGCCTGGGCTAAGTTTTCCAAAAATAAAATAAAATGTGCTTGATTCATACACACACACACACACACACACACATACACACACACACACAAACACACACGAGAGAGAGAGAGAGAGAGAGAGAGAGAGAGAGAAAGAGAGAGAGAGAGAGAGAA